CCATACCAAAGGCTGGAGTCTCTGATATTCATCAGTAAGTGCCTCATGTCCTCTTTGCTTTCAGCCAGCAAGGTTGTGTCATCTGCACATCACAGGTGGTTAATCTTCCTCCAATCCTAATGTCATGTTCTTCTTCACTTATTCCAGCTTTTCAGATTGTATGCTCAGCATACAGAATAAGTAAGTATGGTGAAAGGATACAACCCTGACACACACCTTTCCTGATTTTGAACCATGCAGTAGTCCCTCTGTGTTAGAATGACTGCCTCTTGGTCTATGCACAGGTTCCTCATGAGAACAATAAAGTGTTCTGGAATTCCCATTCTTTACAATGTTATCCATAATTTATTATGATCCTCAAGGTTGAAGGTCTTTGCATAGTTGATAAAACACAGGTAAGTGTCTTTCTGGTATTCTCCACTTTCAGCCAAGATCCATCTGATATCAGCCATGATATCACTAGTTCCGTGTCCTCGTCTAAACCTGCCTTGAATTCCTGGCAGTTCTCTGTCAATGTCCTGTTACATCAGTTTTTTAATTCTCTTCAGCAAAATTTTACTTGCATGTGATACTAATGATGTTGTTCGATAATCTCTGCATTCTGTTGGATCACCTTTCTTTGGAATGGGCATGAATGTGGCTCTCTTCCAGTCAGTTTGGCATGTTCCAGTCAGTTCCACATTTCTTGGCAGAAACAAGTGAACACTTCCAGCACTGCATCCATTTGTAGAAACATCTCAATGGGTGTTCCATCAATTCCTGGAGCCTTGGTTTTTTTGGTCAATGCCTTCAGTGAAGCTTGGACTTCTTCCTTCGATACCAAAGGTTCTTGATCATATGCTAACTCATAAAATGAATTCTTTTTAATACAGTGACTTTGAGTATTCTTTTGATGCTTCCTGCATCATTCAATATTTTGCCCATAGAATCCTTCAATATGGCAACTTGAAGCTCGACATTTTTCATCAGTTCTTTTAGCTTGAGAAATGCTGAACATGCTCTTCCTTTTGGTTCCAGGTCTTTGCACGTTTCATTATAATACTTTACTTTGTCTTCTTGAGGTACCCTCTTAAATCTTCTGCTCAGCTCTTTTTCTTCATCATTCCTTCCATTCACTTTGGCTATTCTTGTTCAAGAACAAGTTTAAGAGTCTCTTCTGACACCCATTTTGGTGTTTTCTTTCTCTCCTCTCTTTGTAATAACCTTTTGGTTTCTTTATGCACAATGTTCTTGATGTCATTCCACAATTTGTCTGGTTTTCATTAGTGTTCAATGCATCAAATCTATTCTTTTTTTTTCTTAATTTTTTTTCTTTTATTGCTCTTTAGGTGTAAGTTTACAGAGCAGAGTTTTACATTAAACATCACGTGTACATTTAGTTTCACTCCCCATTTACCATCCCCAACCCTAACCCAGTCTCCTCCCCTCCCTGTCCAGTAACCCCCTTCCTCCCCGTGCCCCTCATAGTTATGCACTCCTGTGTGTCCTAAATTTCCTCGTGTGAATGTTGCCCCTCTGGTGCCCTGTGGTCGATTGCTCCCAGGGATGCATCTCCATAGAGTATGTGGATGCATCATCCTGGGTCGAGAAGTCTGTGTACACCTTGTTAACTATTGGATGAGAGCCAGCCCCTGGGAGTGAGTTTTATTCCAGGCCCAGAATGTATCCCAGGACCATAGTATTGGGGGGTCTCACCAGACTCCATCTGACCAATAATTCTGGTCATTATTGAGTTTTTGGATTTTGTTCCATGTTTTCCCTCCCATTCTATCCAGGATCTCCAGATTTGATCCTTTCCTGAGTAGTTGGCATTGGTAGCCGGGCACCATCTAGTTCTTCTGGTCTCGAGGGCCATTGTGTCCTAGGGGTGATTGCTTCCAAATGCTCTTGGCTTTTTTTTTTTTTTCATTCTTCTTTGCTTCCTATGATAGGAGATTATTAAGTGCATCTTAGATGGCTGCTTGAAAGCTTTTAAGATCCCTGTTACTACTCACCATTGTAGGATGAGGAACAAAGCTTTTATGTATTTTGTTGTGCCAGTTGAGTCTGGTGTCCCCCAGTACTATGGTCCCAAGACAGTAGATCCATTGGATCTCTCTCCCAAAGTGTCTGGGTGTCTGTGAGGGATTACTCTGTGTCTGTCTTCTGTTGTTTCTGTAAGGATTGCAAGTATTTGTATCACTGGTGTCTGTGCAAGATGAGCCTCAGCTGGATCTATCCTTGGTCTCGTGTATACTCCTGTTCGCTGACCCCCATCTGATCCTCTCAGATGTTTATGCGTTTATCTGTTTGGTGTTAATGGTAATGCAGTATTGTGGACACATTGGTTGGTATTAGCATCTGTCCTCTATCTCCTATGTGTACAATTTGGTGTCCTCTGTTTTCCTAATGTTATCATGGTGGTCACAGACTCTTTCCATACATCCTTCCCCTTACCCACATCAGAATGATCAAATCTGTTCTTGAGATAGTCTCTAAATTCAAGTAGGAAATACTCAGGTTCATATACATACATACGTACATACATACATACATACATATAATTATTATTTTGCTTTTGTGGACTTGTTTTAATTTCCTGGAGCTTGAACTTGAACTTGCATATGAACAATTGATGGTTTGTTACACAGTCAGCTCCTGGTCTTGTTCCGACTGATGATATTGAGTTTCTCCGTCATCTCTTTCAACAGATGTAGTCTATTTGATTCCTGTATATTCCATCCAGTGAGTTCCATGTGTATAGTCACTGTTTTTATTGTTTAAGGAAGGTATTTGTAATGAAAAAGTCAAAATTCTATCATGTGATCTCTAGTGCTGTTTAGATCACCACGGCCATGTTTTCCAACTGCTAATCCTTCTTCTTTATTTACAACTTTTGCATCTCAATCACCAGTAATTATCGATGCACCTTGGTTACATGCTTGATCAATTCCAGACTGCAGAAGTTGGTAAAAATCTTCAATTTCTTCACCTTTGGCATTAGTGGTTGGCACATAATTTTGAATACTAGTGTTATTAACTGGGAGCTCTGGTAGCATAGTGGCTAAGACACTTGCCTGCTAACCAGATGGCTGGCAGTTCAAACCCACCAGCCATTCCTCCGAAGGAAGGTTCGGCAATCCTACTTCCGTAGTGATACTGCCTCAGAAACCCAAGGAGGGGTCGCTACGAGTTGGGTTTGACTCAATGGCACATAACAACAACAACAGTGTTATTAACTAGTCTTCCTTGTCAAACTAAACCCATGGCCATTGAGTTAATTCTGATTCATAGTGACCCCCATGGGGTTTCCAAGGCTGTAAGTCTTAGTGGAAGCAGACTGTCTCATCTTTCTCCCATGGATTGAGTGGTGGGTTTGAACCACCAACCTTTTAATTAGCAGCCCAATGCCTTTACCTCAGTGCCACTAGAGCTCCTGTCTTCCTTGTAGGAGTATGGATATTATGGCATCACTGACAGAACTGTATTTCAGGATGGATCTTGAAATGTTCTTTTTGATGATGAATCCAATATCATTCCTGTACAATTAATCATTCCTGGCAGAGTAGACCATATGATTGTCTGGATCAAAATGGCCAAAACCAGTCCATTTCAGCCCACTAATGTCTAGGATATTGATCTTTATGTGTTTCATTTCATTTTTTACATGTTTCACTTTTTCTAGATTCATATTTCATGCATTCCACATTCTGATTATTAATGAATGTTTGCAGTTATTTCTTCTCATTTTGAGTCATGCAACATCAGCAAAAGAAGGTCCCAAAAGTTTTGCCCTCTCCACATCATTAAGGTTGACCCTGCTCTGAGGAAGCAGCTCTTGTCCAGTACTATTTTGAATTCCTTCCAGCCTGAGGGGCTCATTTTCTGACACTATATCAGACAATGTCCTGCTGCTATTCATTAAATTTTCAGTGGCCAAGTATCTCAGAAGTCGACCATGATGCCCGTGATTGTAGTCTGTCTCAGTCTGGGAGCTCTGCTGAAACCTGTCTGTCATAGGTAACCCTGCTGGTATTTGAAATTCCTATGGCATAGCTTCCCGCACCACAGTAACGCATGAGCCACCACAGTATGACAAACTGACAGACAGGGGAGAAAGAGGAAAAGAGAGAGTGACATACCAAATGAGATAAAGTATAAATAATGTGTGTTACTTCAAGTCAAGGGTAAACAAAAATTCAATCTACCCTTGAAACTTTTCCATGAATTTGAAATTTTATCAAAATTAAATTTTAACACAAAAATAAAACAAAATAATTCCATAGTTTTTTTTTTAATTTATTCTCTTTATGTCTCAGCCATATTTTTATGTCAAAACATGCAAATATATTTCTTTTTCTTTAATAGCTCTATGTTTATCTCAGAATGAATGTGACATGCTCAATCAATCCATTATCAATGGACATTGAAGTTGTTTCTGGTTTTTTTTTTTTCAATTACAAAAAAGTGATACAATAAGCATCCTTGTACATATATATCTGTCCTTGTGGGAACATATAGATATATTTGGTAAATATCCATCAGTATTTTAGAAATATAAATGATGTGGTTGTTAAATTTGCATTTCTTGGCTTATTAGTAAATTTCAGCATCTTTTCATGTAGTTTATAAGCCACTTACAATGCTTTTATGGTTTGCTTTCTCATATTTTCTTGTGTGGCCCACTAGTGTCAGCTCATCAGTATAGTTGTTAGTTGCCATCAAGTTCATTGTGACTCATGGTGACATCATGTGTGGAGAGTAGAACTTGCTCTGTAGGGTTTTCAACACTGTGATCTTTTGGAAGCAGATCACCAAGCCTGTCTTCTCAGGCACCTCTGAGTGGGATGAAATGGCCAACCTTCCCAATAATTGTCAAGAGTTGTGCAAGCAGGGTCCCTTCGTTGTATATTAGGTGGCAAATGTTTTTCTCTGGTTTTTCATTTGCCTTGCAAGGTTATTGTGGGACTACAAAAGACTATTCATCAGGGGCTGAGAGACCCAGCTTTCCAAGACCAGGATCAAGGCAGGTGGATGGATCTTCTCAGCACTGCATGGACCTCTTTGTTCCGTAGACAGTAGATGATAGGGTTACATATGGGCGTGACCACCGTGTAGATGACTGACAGCACCTTGTTGAGGTCCATGGACTTGATACGGCTGGGGCGGCAGTAGATGAAGAGGGCAGCTGAGTAGAAGATGCCCACCACGACCAGGTGGGAGGCGCAGGTGGAGAAAGCTTTACGGCGGACTGTGGCTGAGGGCATGTGGAATACAGCCACCCCAATGGCTGAATAGGAGGCCAAAGATATGAGCAGTGTCCCACAGAAGATGATGATGGCAGAGATGAAGTCCACCAGCTCTGTCAGGGCCACGTGGGTGCAGGACAGGTTGAGCAGAGGGGAGACATCACAGAAAAATTGGTTGAGGGCATTGGGGCCACAGTAGGAGAGGCTGGCGATGCATGTGGTCTTAACCACTGAGACCAGAAAACCACCAAGCCAAGAGGCCAAGGCCAAAGCCAGGCAGACCTGGGGCCGCATGAGCAGTGGGTAGTGGAGTGGCTGGCAGATGGCCACATAGCGGTCATAGGCCATGGAGGCCAGCAGGGTGCACTCAGTACAGATGAGAGAGACAAAGAAGAAGAGCTGTGTCATGCAGGCTGTGAAGGGAATATGGTAGGGTCCAGCCCACAGCCCCACGAGCAGGCTGGGCATGGTCACCGACACGTAGCACATCTCCAGGCAGCTCAGGTTGCCCAGGAAGAAGTACATGGGCTTGTGGAGCTCACTGTGGCTGCAGATGAGGTAGATGATGAGAGTGTTCTCCAAGAGGGTCAGTAGGTAGAGCATCAGGAAGATGGCAAACAGGGCTTCCCTTACATCTGGCCTGGTGGACAAACCCAGCAGGACAAACTCTCGGACTCTGCTCATGTTGGCCAACTCCAGGGACCTTTCCATCTAAGGAGAGACAAAGACAATCTGTTGACATTCTGGTTGCACAGGTGCCTAATTAAACCGGTTGCTGTCAAGTCGATTACCACTTATGGTAGCCCCAGTGTGTCGGAGCCGAGCTGTGCCCCACAGTGTTCTCAATGCTGTGACCCTTTGGGATCAGATCACCAGACCTTCCTTCTGAGGTGCTTCTGGGTGGGTTTGACTGCAAAGCTTTCAATTAGGAGGCGGGTGTGTTAATGGTTTGTACCAATGGGAGACTGCAGGTCATATACGTGGCTCTGTGATGGTGCTCTGTTGACAGGCTCTGAAGCGAGCCAACCTGGATTTAAATGCCGCTGTCACCTCTCCTACTTGCTCTGACTTGTGGAATCATTAATCCTCCTTGATTCTCAATATTCCTACCTGTAAGAAGAGGGAGTAGGACTCTCTCTTTCTCTCCTTCCTCCCTCCCTTCTTTCCTTCCTTACCAGGCCAATCATACCTCTCAGTGGCCCCAGGTGTGTCAAAGTAGAACTAATTTAAAGGGTTTTCAAGGTCATGACCTTTTGACAGCAAGTCACCAGGCTTTTCTTCTGAGCTACCTCTGGGTGAGTTTGAACCACCAACTGTTTGGTTAGCAGTTGAATGCTTCAGTTTACGCCACCACCCAAGACTCCAATCCCTTGTATGGATTGTGGTAATTACCAGTTCCCCACTCAGGATCTCCTCTCCTACCCTAACCCATCACAGAGATCATGAAATGGGACTGATCCACCTAGTAACCCTCACGTCCTAGCTCAATTCCTGGTACAATGATTACGAACTGACAACAATAAATGCATCAATGTGTAGGCTGTGTAGTGTTGTCATACTTGAATGCCATGACTGAATTTGGGCTTCATCTTATGTGTAATATGGATACAGAAAGGATGTGATAAGCATTTTGGATTTACATAACAAGCACTGAATCCTGTGAGTGTGTTTCCCAACACTTATTGAGAACTTACTGTGTGCCAGCCCCAGTGCTAAGAACTTCCCCACATCATCTTATTCATTCTTCACAGTATCCTTATGAGGATGAACCTAGAACTCCAGGTGATGGAGAATAAATTGCTGGGCCCTTGATAGGAAGGTGTCTATTCTATAAGTTCATGTCTACAGGAGGAAATGGGCTTTATTGAACAAAAATGAAATTCAGACATAATCCCAGATAGTGTAGATGGCAGAGGGAGTGGCTGGCCCCATTGGTTCTGGCCATGAAAGAAGTTGACCCTGTGAAGGGTGATATTTGAATGGAAACCTGGAGCATGAGATGGGTCCGGAAATGCAAAGTGGTGAGGGGAACAGCATTGTGAGCAGAGAGGATTCAAGTGTAAGTGTCCTGTGATGAGAAGGAAATGGAGTTCTCACAGATAATGAGGAGACTTAGTGAGTGAGAAGAGCAGACAGACATGGCATGCAGAAATAGCCAAGGACGAGTCTACATAAGAGGAGCCCTGGTGATGCAATGCTTGGCTACTAACCAAAAGACTGGTAGTTCAAACCCACCCAGTGCCTACATTAGAGAAAAACTTGGCCAACTGCTTCAGTAAACCACAGTCTAGAAAAGCCTATAGGATGGTTCGACTCTGTCACATGGGTCACTATGAGTCAACATCAACTCGACAGCACCTGAAGACAAGTTTACGTAAGATCTCAGGAATTCAAATTTCTTTCACTCTTTTGCCACAACCAACATGGCAGCAATGATCAGAGGATTTATTAATCTTTCAATTTTCCAGGCACTATGCTAGGAAGTTTTTATACTGCTTTATTCAGTTATCTCAAGAACATGTCAAATGAGTAGTGACTGAGATCTTAAAAGCTTGCAAGCGGCCATCTAGATGCAACGATGGGTCTCTCCTCGTCCAGAGCAAAGAATAATGAAGAAAAGCAAAGATTCATGGAAATAATTAGTCCAAGTGACTGGTACACCATGCAATCCTCAGCCTATAGGACTATGAGACCAGAAGAACTATATGGCACCTGGCTATCACTGTCAACTACTCAGAGGGAGATCTCTGTAGGAGATCCTGGATAGAGTGGGAGAACAATGTGGAATAAAGCTCAAAATCATCATTAAAAAAAAAAAGGACCGAGTTTGGTGGTTGGATAGAGCCTGATGGAACCACTGAGACTATGGCCCCTAGCTGCCCTTCAGGTCTGGAATTGAACCCACACTTGTGGCTTCCAGCCAAACAAAAGACAGTCATACGAACTGAACATTTACATTAGGTAGATATATTCCTTGGAGAGATCAATCATGGGAGAATAGAAGGGCTGTGTATGCACAGGGAGACAATTCAGGGGGCAGGAGTACATGGAGGGAAGGACACAGAGAAGAGGTAACTATGGGGAGGAAACAAGGCTCAGAGTGAACTCAAATAGAACTTGGACTCCAATAAAAAAAAATAATTCCTGGTCTGAACTCAGTCATCTTTCCTCTGCGTAGACTCTGAAGTCAAACATCAGCCCCAGGTCCAGCCACACTCTCTCCCAATGATGTGACTTTGGGATACTCCCTGTATCTTTCTGAGGCTCTGTTTCAAATTAGTGTATTTCTCTGCAGTCTTAAACAAGAGCCCCCGCCTCCTTGACTTCTGGCTGTAAGACAACACACCACATCTGTGTAGTTCTCACAGGTTGTACCCTATTTTTAGACATCAGGATGTCATTTGAAAGGGGCATTGATTACTGGTGTGGGTTGCTCCCTAAACATCATGTCCTTCTGAGCAGAGCCTGACCACTCGTGAGCACATGGAAGTCAGCTCTTATTACCTACAAGAAGAAGACAGCACACAAGAACAAATGAGGATCCTTTACTTAGGGTTCCCTCCAAAACTCAAGAAGGCTGTGTAGGAGGTGGTAATAGGAACCCCACACTGTGGCATGGGTGAGAGACTGAAAAGGGGAGTGGACTACCTTCTGCCAGTCTCCATCTGGCCATGTGAGCCCAGTTAGGTGGACTGTAAGGTTACCTTATGCAAGCCCTACTTGCACAGTAGCTGAGGAGACAAAGACTTCCTCTGCCAGCTATTTTATACCCCAGCCCACCTGACTACTTGCATCTTTAAAGCCTAACGAACATCCAGTCTCAGTCAGGGAGTATGTCATGGAGCCTAAAGATGCCAGCAGGGAGAGGAACAGGTAAAACCATGGATACTTGGCTTGTCCAAAGAACTTTGTCCTCACACAGCTGACCTTGGAGGATCTGTGTTCACTATTTAGAAAGCGACCTTCAATAGGCCAGGTTTCCTGCTGGTTGGTGAAGCTCTCCTTTGTTCTGGGGAAGAGCTCATCGGCCATCCTCCCCACCCCTCCCACTCTGAGCTTCCTTCTCCCTTTCTCTCCTTCCTTCCTGGGTCTGCCTTGCATCTTCATTCTCCTCCCATGTCTGCTAAATACTCACCTCCTCCGCGAATCCTTTCTGAGTCACTCTTCCTGGATGATGACTTCAAATATTCCATCTAGTCTTGGATAACCCACCAAAGAATCCATAGGGCACCCTGAACATGTCCCATCAACACCCTAAAGTTTTTTGTTGCAAGGATCTTATGATCTACTTCCAAAAACTGGGCCGGTGAAAACCTGAAGGTTAGAACTAGAATATGTAAAGAAAATACCATCTCAAAACATGTATCAGCCATGAATTTTTTGTGAACAACTGTTCTGAGTATAAAGGAAAGATGGTGGTGAATAAGAACTGGTCCTTACCCAAAGAACATTGGGCCATGAATTCAAGTTCTGTTACCTTGGCGAAGCCACTTAATCTCTTCCAATGTCAGTTTTATGTTATTCAAATATAGGAATAACCATCCCTACCGGGAAATACATAATTTCTCTTCTGTGGAAAGAAGGGCAGCACAATGTGGTAGTTACAGGTTCAGGCTCAGGTTCAGGAGTTATACAGCACAGGGTTTGAACCCTGAGGTCCTGAATGAAACCCAGAATTGCTCTCATGAGAATGCAGGCTCTTGGTTGGTAGAAGGTTTTACTTCTCCTTCATTCCATAAACATTTATAAAGTAACAGCCTTGTGCAATGAAAGCAGTGTGTTAAGAGAAGTGGGGATATGGACAAAAATAAGCCAGAGTTCTGGCTTCGTGGAGCTCAACAACTACTACATGCCACGATTGTGCCTCTAGATAAGTTTCCTAAAGCAGTTTTCCTTGCCTATTTGGACTGTAGGAGGAATTAGAATGAATGATTTCACTGAGTAGTAGCTACTACATGCCAGACCTCTGAGGGATAGGAGAGCAGAGTGGTGAAAAGCAAGGGCTTGGAAGTCAGACTCACATGAACAGGAAGTACTGTCTCTCCTGCCTAATTGTATAGTCTTCAGGAAGTTGCTTGAACACCCTCAGCCTCAGGTATTGATATATCATATAAAGTATATAGCAACTACTTCGTCAGGAGCCCTGGAGGAGCACTGGTTAACTGCTTGGATGCTAATCAAAAGGTTGGCTTCTAGAATCCACCCAGTGGCTCTGAGGGACAAAGACCCAGTGATCTCCTCCTGTAAACATTACGGCATGGGAAACCCTATGGGGCAGTTCTACTCTGTAACATGGGGTCTCTATGAGCCAGCATCAACTCAACGTCGCCCATCCACCACAACGACCACTTCATCAGGCTTTCAGAAGGTTAAATCAGTGAATTACATCTAAAGTGTTGAGAGTCAGTGCATGGTATCTGGGGGTTCTATAGAAGACACTTTCTTTGCATTGTTCCCCATATTCACTGCCAAAGAACAGCATTTGGTCTCCTCACCTCGTGGTTGATGGCCAATAGGTACAAAGTATTCTTTGCTGGTGCTGCACCTGGAGGCACCTTGCATGCCCAGGTGGATTTTACTTCTGCCCAGAGATGGCAATGCCAAGGAATGGAAGAACTGCCTTTCAGTCCAGCTTGGAAGGAACTGTCCTTGCTCCTGAGCATGGCACCCACCACCCTTTGCTTCTCCTCACAGCTCCTCACAGCTGCTGA